TTTTTTTTTTTTTTGGTAAATCGAGTGGGTATGTGCAGCTTTCATATCATGTAAGCCCTTTATTCATGACCTAATTTTACATAATAGGATGTGTACTTTTATACTATGCCAAAATGTAGAAAAATTTTATCATGCTTGTTTTAGAGAAGCCTATTCCTGCACATATAAAATAATTTATGTTGTCTTTATTTTTAATTCAGGAAAGCCACACTTTGAATCCACTTAATGTCTACTGTGGTTTCTTGTTTCTTATATATATTAAAAGAGAATTTATATCTTCACTTAGAGAATGTTACCTGGACAACTAGCTCAGGGGTTGGTATTATTTTATTCTCTTTCCTTGTGTATAAAAGAAAGAATTCTGACCCAGATGACCTCTACACTTCCCTCTAGTTCTAACATTTTATCATTCTATGAAGAGCCAATTAGGTAATTTTGAATCTGAATATGACTCATGTCTCCATTTAAAATCGAATATTGTTTCATATTGTTTAGTTTGTCCACATAGTCTTTGATAAGTATCTGTGTGCACATGAGTTATGTCTTGGATGCTTTAGGATGATTCAACCTTCTTCTCTACATTTGTAGGGTTGCATGGCACACGTCAAGAAGAAATGATTGATCACAGACTAACAGACAGAGAATGGGCAGAGGAATGGAAACATCTTGACCATGTAAGATGTCAGTAATTGTTTAGGTTAAAAATGTTTTGATAACAGCTGGGGTGATGTTACGTGATAAAAGAAAAGTGTAGGGATGCTTTGAAGATATTATGTTTTCTGCTATCCTTGAAAAAAATAATGAATAAGAATGTTTGAAGTAGAATATCAGGTTGATTTCTAAATTGATGTTAAAGCCACTTACATAAGATAAATGTTTAGATCATGGAAAGGAGTCTTTAAAACCAGATTGATGTGCCACTGTTTTATTACAAAAGGTTCATTTAGCTTATGGAGTAATGAGATTAGTATTTGGAAAGGTGGCTGTACTCCTTCACGATGTCATGACTCATGTCCATGCCTTCCAGTTTTTATTCTCATTCCTATTGAGTTTACTCATCTATTGGGTCTCAATTTCAAATCTGACCTTTGAAAATATTAGACCAAAGCCTTCAGGAGTTAAACAATATCCTTCATTGTCCTAAAATAGTTTTTTTTTCATTACCCACCAAAGTCTTTAAGTTGTGGTGATTGATATGTTCTTCCTTTCTCCCCTGTTTCTCACATAGTTGTTGAACTGCATAATGGACATGGTAGAGAAAACAAGGCGATCTCTCACTGTACTAAGGCGATGTCAGGAAGCAGACCGGGAGGAACTGAATTACTGGATCCGGCGGTATAGTGATGCTGAGGACTTAAAAAAGGGCAGCAGCAGTAGCAGCAGCCACTCCAGGCAGCAGAGTCCCGTTAACCCAGACCCAGTTGCATTAGGTATCTTTTCTTCAGGTGGACATATTGAACAGATATTTCTCATGCTATTAATGCTGATTTTATTTTAAATTGTCTTTTTCTAAAATAAAGGATATGCAAGGAATTTTAGAACAATAAACACTTTATATATCAGCAAATATGTCTTGCTTATCTGTTAGGGAAGCTGGCAGATTGGCTTATGCAGAGCCAGTCACAAAACTGAAACTCCTTTTCCAGGTTAAAATGTTGTGCTCATGGTATTGCTTGAAAGCTGAAACAGAATTTCACATGAGTCATTAAAACTTGTCCTGATTCATAGTATAGCTCTTTGGACTCAACTTGCAGAAACAGAATCTCGGGGAGTTGGCCTGGCCTTCTGTACTTCCAGCAAGCTTGTTGGGGGACTCCACTGCTACATACCAGCATTTGAGAACACTGCACACAGGGAAGTGTGTTGTCTGATTTTTAATTAAAGACATAGTCTCAAAGACAATCTTGTTTTTTAGCTATATCTTATATTTAAAACAAAACAAAACACACATTACCTCAAAACTTTTCAAGGAAGAGAGACTAAAGGGTTACATAGTTTGCCCAGTGCCACTTGAAAATTAGTGATAAAGATTTAGCTCTAGTCCTGTGATTTGACCTTAACTGAGGTTGCTTACCTATGATTTTATTAATTTTAGTTATATATAGGAATTAATATAGCTGTGCTTTAGAAATTGAATGCTAATATGTAGCCATATTTAATATTGATATTGGGATCATTAGGGTTCTAAAAAGAATTTAATCACAAATACAAGCATACCTTGTTTTTTTCTGTTTTCGTTTTGTTTCATTGCATATCATAGATATTGTGGGGTTTTGTTTTGTTTTTTTACTAAATTAAATTGAAGGTTTGTGGCAACCCGGTGTTGAACAAGTTTATCAGCACCATTTTCCCGCAGACTTAGATGATGGTTAGCATTTCTTAGTATAAAATACATTTTAATTAAAGTATGTACATCATTTTTGCACATAATTCTATTGCACACTTATTATACTATAGTATATAGTAAATACTACATTTTATATGCACTGGAAACCAGAAAATTCATGTGACTCACTTTACTGTGACAGTAACCTTATTGCGATGGTCTGGAACTGTCCCTGCAATATCTCTGAGCTATGCCTGAACATGGAAAGAAATTTTGAATCTGAAAGAATTTTTGAGTGGCTAGCAAGCTTTTTCTCAAATTAATAAGCTGTCATCACTTCCTTTGCTGGCTGTTATATGTGTATACATTTGAGTACTTGGTGGAGATGGATTTATGTTGATCCCTGTTTTCTCCTCTCATTTTCTTACATTTAGTTCCACACCTGTCAGGTAACTCAGGTTAGGGTACAGTCCATGTTGTAAAGCGAAACTAATTACACATGTGCAGTTAAATAAGCTCATGATGTTGGCCTGATTATCACTCATGGCTGATTATCAAAAATTAAAAACTTGATGTATATTATCCGGCTATTGAGTATATGATCTTTTGAATGAAAATTATTCCTAGCCAATAAAGTTTCCTTTACACTTAAGTTTGTGATTCCTACTAATCCCTGAATGCTGAATGTCTAGTACTATAATAAGTATTAAATAAAGGATGATTCTAAGTCACTTAATTTACCTAACAAGCATTATTCTAAATCAAATTTAAAGACAGACTGATGTGTTTTAGATTTAAGTTTGATTTGTACCCATATTGATCCAAATAAAACTAGAGCAGAGTAGAATAAACATCTTATTTTTTATTTTCTTATTGTGAACAAAAATCATTCAATCATGACAAATCTGATCAGGATAAATAAAGGGGGTATTTGTAACCATCCAGTATAGGTAAAAATTGAGAACCTTAAAGTAAATGAAACTTTGGGAGTAAAAATATCCAGTTTAGTCCACTCTATTGAACAGATTCATTGAGTTAGTACTTATTTATTGAATGCTCGCTATGTGCCAGACAATGCTATGCACTGTACTAAAGGAAAGAGATTCTTCATTTCTTCCTTTGAGGAACTTTTGATCTAGTGGAGGAGACAGGAAAGGAGATAGCTAGTGGTATGGCACCAGATGGCTACTTCAGTTCATTCTCCTGAACTGACAACATTAGTATTATCTATCTCCTGTCCATTGGAAAAGAAAAATTTCAGAAGTTGATTGGACTTCCTACCTAAGTGAATTATTTTCAGCGCACAGAACACAGGACACTCATATAATCACTACTAGATATATGGATTCTGGTGATGCAGAAGTTTATCATTCTCCAGGGAGATAGGTGTAGTTTCCCTGTTATATAACCAAAAGAGTAAACTTGTTTTTAAAAACTCCTTCTTATGAGTACACAAATTATATTACTTTTAATGATGCTTAATGAAGTCATGTTTTTGGTAAAACCAAAAGGTTGCATGGCTTTAAGCTTTTGTAAAGTGTATTATTCAAAGGCTACAGGTATTTCACTTCTCTGATAAAACAGTCAAGTTCCTTGGGACATAAAGCCCTAGATTGCCTTTTAAGAAATTATCACAACTTTAGAGGGAAACTGTCAAGAGCCATACTATGTGCAAATTTTAGCTTATTTTATTCCTTGTCCTTACTGGTATATTCTTGAAGCCTTTGATTTCCATCTTGTGGGGTCAGGCTGTGGCTATAAATACAAGGACAGGTGGTTTATAATTATGGACCATATCATTTACATTAAGTGCTTTCTAAGATTCTCTCCTAGGTTTTAAAGTTGGATGTATTGATTTGTAATGAAAAGATTGGAGATTATTGGTTGATAAATCATTTTTTTTGTTTTGCCTATGGAAAATGTGTAGCGGAGTATTTGGGTACAGATAGAGCTATGATCTTTATATCCTACAGTTATGTTGTGTTTCTTTTAGCCTGATTCTCTCAATTCTTAAGCTGCTGTCTGAGCTCAAATGAGACCTTGAGAATTTCAGAATAACATTATAGATGACACCTTTAGTTCAAAATATTGCCCTAGTTATATCCTTAGCTTGGAAACCCTGGCAATGTCTAGTCATACACACATTCTTAGCATTTTCAAATTGTATTTGGGGACTGTGCAGAGGAGAATGTAACTTTTCCGACTGCTGTGTTGTACTTGTTAAACTTATTCCCATTCTCACTTTTGAAATATATCCATAGTATTAAGGCAGTGTGACAGATTAGTAAGATAACATGATTAATCTATTCCTAAGTGAATTTTGAGAGTTTTCCCAGATATTAAATAAAGACTATTTTGAACAGCTTCTTAAACATTTTTAAAATTGAGTAAAACACTGAAGCTATGTTGTTATTTCAACTCTTTAAATGAAAAATAGGTTGATATCTTGGAAGACTTTCAAAATAATAGATTTATTCTTGAAATTATAGACAGCAGCAGCAGCAGCAGCAGCAGCAGCAGCAGCAGCAGCAGCATCATCATCATCATCATCATCATCATCATCATCATCATTCACTTGCTTTCTAAGAAAAACTCCAAACATCCAAGTCAATAAAATTAGAAAGCTAATTTTTTAACCATTTTTTTTCAAAGTATGACTTATTTATACATTGAAGTTTTGTTGTATTGTGTACGTCACTGAAGAGCAAGTTAATGCCATCAGAATTGACATTTGATCAGTTAAGTAGAAATACTTTTATACATCTAGGTAGGTAGCTGCTAGTTAGCACTTGATGTGCTCTTGGAGTCTTATCTGGCTCCTTCTTTATCTTCCTTTGCCTCCATTTCCTTTTCTCTTTATATACTGCTCACATCACTGTCTTGGTTCCTGACATTTTAATTCTTTAAAGTTACTTTCTTTTTTCTGCTCTTAAACTATTCTAGAATTTTTCTATAGCTCATCCTTTGTGTACTCTCTGTTTCTTGTCTTCTGTATCATTAGAGAGAGTTAAAATAATTTTCTAATGATGTATTTAAGATAAATGGTAGAGGCTGAAGCATAAAATTGAAATATCATATTTTCTCCTTTTTTTATTTTTATTTTTGGATATTTGAATATTGCCATGATAGGGTCTGAAATTTAGAAAATACCAGTATGTTTTGGTAAAGGTTTTCAGTTCTTGCCAGAAAGAAAAACATGAGAAAATGGTTTCCTGTTTGTTTGTTTGTTTGTTTGTTTTTAATAGAATGAAAAATCAAGTTAATTGTTCATAAAAAGCTTAGAAATTTAGAAATTTGTTGAATTAATACCACTGCCTGCCTCAGGTGGATTGGTTAGATGAATTAGTATTTTAAAATTTCTCTGGCTGGTAAGCTTTGTGATTGTCATATGATTGATTTATAGAATTTCTCAGGACTGTCTAAATGCTCAGGAAATCTAGCATGAAAGTTAAAAGCACAGATTCTGAGCAGAAATGTTTGGATTTGAATCCCTGGTTCCTCTCATTACTAGTTTTGTGGTCTTGGGCAATGAACTCTTCCTCAGTTTTCTGATCTGTAAAATGGGGATAACAATACATATCTCGTAAGTGTTTCTATATGAAATGAATTAATAGATATAAAGCATATCAGATAATACCTGACACATAGTAGATGTGATATAAGTGATTGCTATTATTATTATTATTTCTAACATGCAATCTCAAAAGGAACTTTAAAGAACAGTGGTACATGAAACTAGTATTTTTGCTTGGCAGCCAACATAATGAAATTATAGTAGTTTTTTTTTTTTTTTTTAATCTAGAAAGTATTCCAGGCAGTAATTTTTAGTAATTTTTAGGCAGTAATTTTATTTAATAGTCAGAGAAACTAGAACAGGAGAATTCTGTCTTAAATACAGTAAATCTTTTGTACCTTTGGGACCTTAATTCACAACACAAGAGTATAGAAAAATAGTTTCCTCCCAACCAAAGAAATATATTCTTCAACTTATATCAAGTTATAAAAACCGAAAACAAGTTCTTCAGAGTATTTCTGCTTTTAAGTATTTGAGTTTTATACATGTGTCGATTCCTTTAAATCACTTCAGAAATTCATTTTGAGACTATTCACCTGAGCTCCTAATGCAAAGTGAAGTGCCTAGTGTATTTAAGGATACTGCATTAAAAATAATGTGGCTATTAATTAAATATGTCTATCTTTTAAAAATAAGAAAAGATGGCTGCATCCTGGATCATTAAGTATTTTTATTGTTAAAGATGGAAATCTTATTGTAGTTGCTGGCTTCTAAGTTGGGTTTGTGCTTCTGAAACATAATATTGAAATTTCTGAATTTATTATCCTTACAAACAGAAATAAGTAACATTTGTAAAGATGGCCTTTCTTCACCCTTCCTGTCTCTTGATGGTTGTGTTATAGATGTTATAATCACAGCCTCATTCTGCTCACTACAGGATGAAAGTCATACCTAGGTGCTGCCAAGCTTTGAGCATTGCTCTCTTGGGTCGTGTAAGGTCACATTAGTTCTCCAAAGGCTTTCAGCTCATCCCTTCACATATATGGATGGCGTACCTTGCTGCATCTAGTATCCAATGGTCTCCATTCTGTCCCAAGTGTATGGCATCCTCCATCTCCTTCATGCATCATGTATTGCTCTTTCTGTTCTTTCACATTTCTTTTAACATATTTTCCCACTTTGACTGGATCTCCTCTCTTCATAAATTTGTGTAGTCATCTAGAGGCTCTCCTCCTCTTCTCTTATCCCCAGGCAATTTACATCCTAAAGCAAGCAAAACTTTAGAAGAACTTTTCTGTAATTTTCTACATCTTTCCATAGATACAGATGTATATGTTTCACATTGTAAATCATCTCATAGTCTCTTTTGTCTTTGTTTCTACCACTACATTTTCATAAACTATCCATTTTATAACAACTGATATTTTATAGATGGTCCAGAGTAATGGTTAAACATTAGCTTTTTTAGAATCTGAGCCTTTGAAACTTAAAGTCTTTTCCATAGATTTGTCTAGATTAGCCAATATTCTAAAATAAGTCAGTCCTAGGAGAGAAGTTGTCTCTTGTAATATTGATCAACTTCAGGATTTTTTGTTTTTTAAAACTCAATTTTGCTTATATAGACTCTGTTATTGCTGTTACATAATCATAAGAGAAATATTAAACTTATTAGTCCTTTGGTTTCTGTAGCTGTTATGGCAGCAATCCCCAAGCTTTTAGGCACCAGGAACCGGTGCTCCTATGAGAATCTAATGCCTGATGATCTGAGTTAGAGCTGAGGCGGTGATGCTAGCGTTGGGGAGCGGCTACAAATGTAAAGGAAGCTTCACTTGCTCACAGCCTCCTCTCCTACCGTGCAGCCCAGTTCTTAACAAGTCACGGACTGTTACAGATCCGCAGCTAGGGATTTGGAGATCCCTGTTTTATAGTATTCATCAGTGTATCAAATTAGATTCTGAGGAGTACATCTATTTATTGATTACTCCATTCTTTTCGTTAGTAGACCTGATATATAATATAGCTAGGACACACTAACTTAAAACTGGAGAGGATATTGTAAAGTATGTATATATATAAATGTGTGTATTTTATTAAAAAATAATTTATTTACTTTCAGATTCTGCTGCTGTTTTGAAAAAAAAATTCTTTTAGAAAGAAGGAAAGGATTAATAAAACTTTTGCTTGATTGGCTTGGGAATTTCTATCAGTTTTCTAGGTCAGGAGGAGTTTGCGTATGTGTCACTGAGATTTTTTGGGAGATGTAGCCAGGGAGGTGGAACCCTGCACAGCTTTCTTGTGTGTGATGTATGGACCCTCACAGTCTCTACTTCAGGAGATGTAGCCAGGGAGGTGGTTGGATGATTGAGCCATATACATTATCTATGAGTAAATTTGGGAGCTATAAACATAATGTTTGAATAAAATTTATAAACATTCTCACCTAAGAAATTTGAGGACTTTGAACCAAAGACTAAGATAATGAATTACTAACTATAAAAATAACAACTATCCTCAAATGACAAATACTTAGGGAATAAAAAAGTGCTGGTGTATATTGCTTAATCTACACCTCTTCAATGGTTTTGTTTTCTTTCAAGTGTTGTGCTATTTGGATTTAAGTGCTGGGAGAAAAAAGAAACTTTAAGATTCTCTTTTAACGTTATTTATAAGAAAATAAGTATATATTTATTCTTGTAGGACAACCTACTAAATAATAATAGTGATGGTAATAGCAACTAACATCTAATGAGAGTTTAGAATGTGCCATGCCAAGCATTTAATAGGTAGTACCTCATTCATTTCTCACAGTAGTGCTCTCAAATGTAGTACTATCGTCCTTACGTTACAGATGTGGTGACTGAGACATGTAGAAACTAACTTACTTAATGTCATATGGCTAGTAAATGGCAAAGCCAAGATTCAACTTCACTAGGCCCTAGAACTAACTCTTCTGCCTATGCTGCCTGGAGCTGGTAATTGGTACCTTTCAAGCATAGACATTGGATACCTTAACATCACCTTCCCTGTCCCCTATAAAATGATTGGCCATTTATTAAAAATATATACATATTTTTATACAGCCTAGTGCTCTTTCCTTAACCCAGTAAATAAAAAAAAGAATGTTTTTTGTAGCTACTTTGAAGAAGGCATATTTTTTTCTATTTGTCTTCAAGCTTTACAAATCTATTCTTATCCAATAAACTATTCTTAAGCCAAAGTCTTTTCCTAAAAAATTGTCTAAAAAAGTTGTCATAAGTAAATCTCTCTGTTTTACTGTGTTATATGGCTAAATGTGAACTTGATTATACTTCTAGAAATAGTTACAGTGGTATCGAAGGTAATTTTAATTAGCTATTTAATTAGCTATTTCACATTTCCTTGAAGTCATATATGCACCGAACAGTTTTATCTAGCTTTCTATGTTTTATGAATGAAAATTACTTAAATAAAAACATTTTGGTTTTTGTCATTTACTTTATAGAAATGAATGTGCACATGAAATTGCTTGGGTATTTCCAGTCCATCCAATTATCAAGTAGTCATAAAATTATAATGCTAACTTTAAAAAATAAACTTTTTATATTTGGAATAATTTTAGATTTAGAGAAACATTACAAAGATAGTACAGAGAGTTTTCATATACCCTTCCCCAAAGTGTAATAAGCCTTTTCTAATCAGAATAGTTGGAGAAATCTTGTATTCTGGTGAACTAATAATCTATGTTCCTTACAGGATTCAAAATATTCAAATGTACTTGAGGTATTCAAATGTAAAATGACATATACTGAGCTAAATTATATTTTTCTCTATTTTCAATATTCTGTAGCTTCACGAAATATGCAAAACTGGACTGACTTTCGACTCTCAACATGCCATTAGATAAAGTATTATTTTAAAAAAGCAGTCTGCTTCTTGACATATACATGTAGAGAAAAGTTTAGTTACTTGAAATTTATCAAGGATTGAATAATTGTCATATTTATAAAAGTTAAAATGATTTTTCCTACTTCGAGACTTCTAAATCCATATGCTTTCATTGAAAAACCCATATGGAAGACACATAGTGCATACTTTAGCTATGAAAAACTGTTTACACTTGAAATTTACTTTCATGCATATATAATAAAAATAAAAGGTTTTATGTCATTTTCATGAACGTGATTTGGAGGTAGCATTCCTATGTCTACTTTATCATGTTATCTGTTTTCTCAAACTTTTAAAATTTGACAAGCATAATAAGCATAGTTTCATTTAAAGTGGAACTTCATTTTCTTTTTTGGAAAGCATGTACTAATTCTGTTTGGGCAACTGAAGACCTGTGAATTCATTCCAATGATTCTTTCTTTCTTCCACCCATGTCAAATCCGTATGATTTCATTTGTGTGAAAACTTTTAATACTAAACTATATTTTAAAGAAATAATTGTGAGAACTGGTTAGCCACACAGTAAGGCTCGCTATTTATTGAAAGGTGGTAGAATCTGAGCTATGTGAAAATTATCTTACCTTAACATTTAATTTTTTTAAAAATACCAATTTGACTCTCAAAAGGAAAACTACCAATACAATTTATTTTCTTTAAATAAATTATACCCATAGAAATTCCCATAGTGGTGACACATGCTAGAAACAGTGTTCCCAAACATCATATGGTATAGTGAAATCATTAAAATTGCTTCAGCTTTGAGCATAAAGGCATTTAGACCAATAACCTGTTTTCCTTGAGCTCTAATGACTGGTATTGCTATTTTTATTTTTTAGAAGTGAAATGCTTAGCCTTTTAAAATTGTGCTTTTGAAAAGAAGCCAAGAGAATGGGCATAGCTTACTTCTAGCTGGTGTAGTGACGCAACAGTGCTCATATGCTTTCCTCTTCTCCATCACTTTTTATCCTTTTCATAGATGCGCATCGGGATTTCCTTCACAGGCCTGCTTCTGGATACGTGCCAGAGGAGATCTGGAAGAAAGCTGGTAAGAATTGTTAAAAAAAACACAAGTTTAATGTTCTGGCAGCTGTGTGCAGTTATTAAATGCCATAATGTGAAGAATGACAAGAAAGGACTTTACTGCTAACAACAACAACAAAAACACAATACAAAACACACCCCCCCAACAAATGTAAAAATCCTGATTAATATTCTTAAACCAGGTCTGATTAGAACATGAATTAGTTTTTATTTTAGTAGCATCTGCTAGTGCTACTATAATTGAGAGAATGGCAATGTTTCTGTTTTTCAGAGACTATAATTGTTTATTGCATGCATTTTTTTCCTTGAAAAAAAATTTGGTGTTTTAGAAATTAAATTGCATACTTCAGTCTTTTTCTCTGAATTCTTAAGTTTTTAAAAACTACATCAAATTTAATTGACTTGTTGAGGCACTCAGAAATTTTATGGTTATAACCAATTTTTAAAATTGATCTTCCAAGCTAATAATAATCAGAGCTAAATTATTTTTAAAGTTTAAAGACAAAATTGCTAAACTTCTATTTTTCTTTTCCATTTGCACAATTTGATTTTAATTAAGAGACATTGTTCTACATTTCAAAGTAGATTTAAAGTTTCTGATGTCTCGACTTAATTGGGCTTGAAGACATTCAGATCTGGCAGAATCTTGGTGAAACACCAGCGCTATAGACATTGAGCAAAAACCTTATAAAAGCCATCTCAGGAGATAAAGCATAAATCTGTTTTAAGAGTTAAAGATGACATGACAAATACATACTGTGTGCGGCTTTGAGCTGCTCTAACTCCAATTGTTAAAATAGTTTTTTTCTGAGCTGAGAAACTGAAAAATGCTGTTTCTGCAAGTTATAAATTAGTATCAGATTAGGAACCCTAATCAAGGAGCAAGAGTCAAGGGAAAGGGTTTTTTGTTTTCTACAAAAGATTTCTCTTTTGGATTTTGATTTGACTCAGCAGTGTCGATAGTTCTTTGCAACTTGCTGACTCTCTGGTCACTTGGCTCTTATCCAAGTGTTATTATAGATTTTTCTAAGAAATACCTGTTTTCATAAGAGCGATAAGGAGTTTTAAAATCTGATAGAATTCCAGGCTTAGCAACTTAAATTGAGAACCGGAAAGCTCTCTTGCATGTCTAAAATGAAAATCAGATAGATCCATTCACCTTAAAAGTTAAATGTTAAATATATATGTTGACTTGTATGTTGCTAATCTGTATAGTCTTCCAAGATTTACAGTATCACCTCTAAGATTTTCTATGTAAGTAATAGTCATGGGATACTCCTAAGTTGTTAAAATGTGCTGGGTGCCACCTACCTGGTAAAAGAATCACTGCACCTTTTTTTTCTTCTTTTTTTTTTTTTTTTCCATTTTTTTCCCGCATTTTTAAAGTATCAGCGCAACTTATTCACAAAGGTGGTACAAAGAATTCTCATTTTAGACAGTAGAAGGATGATTTTCTTATGTTGAGGAATAGCACTTTCTCTGCATTTCCCTTATTTATATGTATTCAAGTTAAATCTTTGATAGTTCAGAAAGAAAAATTGACAGTAAAATGTTGTGTAATTAAAATTCCTCTGTGCTGTTATCTGCTCAGTTCTTTGTTGTCTACTATTAAGTGAGAGCAGGTTTTCTGATTGTACCACCTTTGTTGGAAAGTCAACTTAAATAGATATGCACAAAGGAAGTCCTACCATACGTGGTAAGCAATTAGAAGCAGATTCAAAACTGCGCTATGTGTTTTCCACTTAATCTTTTTTTTTTTTTTTAACTTGACATGTTGTAATCTACTGAGTCCACTATTAATTTTCTTCATTGTCTGTTTTGTGGGTTTCTGTAACTGATTCTGGGTGTATTTTACGCCGTGAGGATTTCAAGAGTAGAGAAAGATCAATACTTGTTTCTGTTATGTCCATACATTCTCTAAGAAGACTCAAGTAAATGTTTGGAATAGTTTTTAGATGTGCCTGTCATGTATATTAGGTCTTCAATCTAAAATATGAGTTGGTTGTGGTGGTAATTAAATCTGTAGTCTTCTCAGAGTGATATCCCTCAGTTGCATAGAAACAATTTGAAAATAGTTTTCTGTGGATGGATGCTAAATTTAAGGAATATATTAAATTCCCAAAGTATGGACAACAGTTTCACTGGAAATCTTGAATAACTGCTTATACTTATCTTTATATGCCCCTTAAAAGGCATTTCTAGTGTTAGCAGTGTCATGGCATCCAACATAATGAAAGCATGAAGGGCAGAGTGACATCTGCATTCAGCTTATTACAATTTGAAAGCTTTTTCCAAGATTCTAAAATTTGCTATGGGCAGATTTTAAAGAAGAAAATCTATAAGGTGTGCCTTTGCAATAAAAATATTATATATTATCTTTGTGGCAAAAGATAATAAAATAAAGTTTGAATCATTTAAAAAATGTCAAGTGTAGAATATAACCAGTACATAACTTTTAATAGAAAATTATAATTGCAAAAATCATATCCTGTGTTTCAAAGTACATATAATATTTTGAAATCATTTTATTTTGAAATGATTTCAAACTTGCAGAAAAGTTACAAAAAATAGTATAAAAACTTCCCTTGTACCTTTCAACCAGTTTTTCCTATTTTACTGTATTTGCTTTAATATCTTCTCTCTCTCTTCCTTTCTCTTTCTCTCTCTTTCTTTCTGTTCTGCATCATATTTTTCCCCAAACATTCAAGAGTAAGTTGCAGATGTGATTTCCGTTTATCCTAAACATCTTAGTGTATATTTTCTGAGAAAAAGGACATTCTCTTATATAACTACAGTTACAAAAATGAGGACATTAACACTGCTATAACACTATTACTTAATCTACAGACTTTATTTAAATGTTTCATGTTGCCCCAATAATACCATATAATAATATAACAGTATACATTTTTAAATATTTGAAATTTTAACAAATGTTGAAGAGCACATCAGTTTTCCCCTCAAAGTAGTAAAAGCAGCAGCAAAGGTAACAAAACGTACTAAAGGTCTTTATAAAATTAGAAAAAATCCAACAAAGATGGTTTTTGAATTGCAACTGAATATTTTCTTCAGTATGCTTCTTTTTCCAACAATCAGAGAATGTTTGCAGTTGGTAATAAATATTCAAGCACCTTGCAAATGTCCTACCAATTCTCTTTGCTGATCTGTATATGCCTCTGGGATTAGAATAGGAATGCATAATTTAAATATAAATTGCCTGATTTGCATATACAATTTGTCAAGCTACAGCTTTGATGATAAGCAAAAATTATTGTCCTGTATTACTACTTAGATAGAATTTTAATTCACCTTGAATATTCAAACTAAATTAGACCCTGGCTGTACAGTTAGAAGGGCAGTACTTCCCTGGTCCCCTAAGCTATTTATGATAGGGTAATAAAGGCATCTTTTCACCTCCCGGTGAAGAAGGTGCTATAAGCTCCGTACGATACACTATTTCTATCCAGGGTTTAAATACATATCTTAAAGCAACC